CTCTTCACCTCCTGGCTCCTCATGTTGCTCATTTGTCAGGCTCTGAGGAGGGGTGCGTGGTGTGGGACACCCATATCCCACCTGGAATATGGGCTACAAGGGCAAAGGGTGAGAGCGTGCAAGTCACTTCTTCCTTTCTCCCTCTTTTGCTCACCCAGGAAATATTTAATTGCTCTCTTCAGAGAGTACTCCAGGTTGAGTAGCAACCTCTGTGTTTTAACTTCCTTTGGGAAAAGGGTGAAGCCCCCCCAGAGCAGAAATCTGGACACTAGATCAGAGCTGGGTGCAGTACAGCTCCATGTCTCCAGCCACGTGGGGTCATTTAGAGTATTCCTTGCATCAAGTGCTTGCAGGAGGTTGGGTGGATGACACTGGGGTATAAGAGTCCTGTAGGTAGCTTGCTATCTAACAAAACCCAACCTTCTGGAATCCTTCTTCTCCTGAGCAGTAGATATCACTTCTTCCTCACCAGTTTTATGAATGTAACCCTGGGAGAGAAAGCTTTGAGCACCAATCACTTTCCTAGGCTGCTGTTTGTCAGTAAATCAAAGCATGTCTTACCTTCCCCAGTCTTCACAGAGGCTGACTCAGCATCTGGGCAGCCCACAGTGCTTTGGTGTGGCAGCTTCAGGACCAAAGGTGCTCAGACTTACCCTTCTTCCCCCTGCTTCCCTCACATGCTTCAGGTTGTGAAGCTGTGCCGTGACTGCCTGAAGAAACAGGAGCCTGTGCTGGGGGACACAAACATCTACCTCCTGAGGATCCTCAGCATTGCCTCCGAGGTGCTCTCCTACCTCCAGATGTTTGAGGAAGCAGCTGACTATGCCAAGAGGATGGTGGATGGCTACCTGTACGTCTGTGCCCTGTTTCTGGCAGCTCTTTGTGCTTATGTAATGTTAAACAATGTTACAGGAATAATTTTCTTAGTCTGTTCCCATCAGGGCAATGGTGCTGGAATTCAAATGGGAACCTGTAAATATGTCATGAGATAGAGAGGGACCCCTTCTTAAATGCACAAGAACTCCCAAACACCTTAATTTACTAAACTGGATGTGGCAATTGGTTTGGGTACATCTTTCATTACCCTTTCTGTTTTGTCTCAGAAGCATCTCAGGGCTGCCCTGACAGCAAGACACAGAGCCTGGGTGCAGGACAGAGAGGCTGTCACTGCAGGTGATGGTCTGTTCCCCTGTACCCTGCAGGAAGGAGAACTCGCAGGGAAAAGAGAAATCGTGTCAAATGGCTGTCACTCAAGATATCCCTTCACTCTTGAATAGTTTGTGGATTTTATCTTGGCTAATTAGTTTAGTCTGGGGTAAATGCTCAGTGAGAATAAAGAAATTCAGGCTTAGTTCGCATAGATCCAGGGTAAATCTCATGGTAAAAATGGTGTGCCTTATTGTTACTGAGGTTTTGTGACAGGACTCATGAGTAGTTAACAGAAAAAATAAAAAAGAGAGAGAAAAAAAAAAAAGAGAGAGAGAGAAAAGAAAAAAAAAGAAAAGAAAAAAAAAGTAATGGAAACCATAGAGAAGAGAGAAAAGCCCAGTTCATCATCTTATTCACTCTCTTCACTTGTCTTCTTGGTCAGTTCTAGCCCAAAAGGCCTATGGTATTTTTTTCTTTTGCAGTGGGGGGACAGAGTCACCTTCCTGGCTTGCAGGCCTGACAAGCAACTTTAACTGTCCCAGCTCTGGCACTGAGCTAATTGAATCACACAGAGGAAATTCCTTCCCCTCTGTGTTCCTCAGTTTTTCAGACCACAGTGAGGACTATGGTAGTTTCCTTCCTTGATTTAAGATCTGCCAATTCAATATGCCAAATAAGCCCTTGAAGGCAGGTTTTCAGGTAGGCCCAAGCATTTTTTAATTCTGTTTCAGCTTCTAAAGTTGGATGCAGGGAAGAGGTTTCGTTTTTCCCACCTCAGGTACTGACAGTCCCCAGAGGCAGGGGTGCATCTGCACAGGGTGACATGAATATTTCTGAAGTTTCTGGAACCACCTGTTTCTCTTCCCACTTCGACTGAGAATCTGGTAGTTGTTCCATTCTCATTTCACTAAGCACCCAGTTGGTGCCATCTGAGTAGTAGGGTCAGATCTGGGTTTTGTTTGTGCCAAAACAATGTGGAATGAACCCTGTTCACAGGTTGTTCATCTTTCACAACTCATGTCCCTGTATAGCTCTGTCCTTGTGTAACCTGTTCCTGCTCTTTCTAAGCCGGGCTGCACATTTCGGTGGCACTGGGTGCAGCAGGCTCTTCACCTGAGTAAACAACCTGCTCTTCGGCAAACATACCACATCACTGACAAACTTTTGGGAACCCAGGTTTTTTCTGACCTGATTACTCAATGTGCTTCCAGGAAAATATATCATCCCAACAACGCGCAGCTGGGGATGGCCGTGATGCGGGCAGGAGTCACTCACTGGCATGCTGGTCTCATTGAAGCTGGGCATGGCTTGATCTGTAAAGCCTATGCCATTCTCCTGATAACCCACGGACCATCCCACCCAATTACCAAAGATCTGGAGGTAGGTGTCATATCCTGTGTCATCTTTGCTCTCTGTCTGGGCAAAGTTACATTTCAAGCTGTAGAAACAACCCATCCGTAAGAGCTGAGAGATGTATCAAGTACTGCTTCTTAACTAATGCTGTGCTTTCATGGGGATTGTTACAGTCTGCTGGGAAATGCATCTCCCTTCCTATTGGAAATTTTCATCCTGAAAAATAGCTTTTATCCTGCACCAGAACATACATTTAAAATGGCAGTGGAGCCCCTGAATCTCCTTTGAAACTGCTGTGCCCAAGGACAGAGCCTCCCTTTCTACCAACAGTCTGATTTTGCTGCTCTCAGAGGCTTGGCATTGTGATTTAACTACATCAAATTATCTATGGTGGTTGTTCCCTGTTTACCAACTGGTTTTTTAGTTGGTGTTCATTCTTCTTTATTTACCACTCCCCACTCCTTCTAAGCAGCAGTGCATTTTTTCCTCAGGTGACTGATAGGTATTTTCTAGTTTAGAGTCAAAGAGCTGCAGATCTAAGGGAATTACATCTGCTCAGATATGAGGAACTGTTTACAATTGCAGCTGAGGAATCTGTCATTTATTTAGCCTTTAACTCACTTAATTCAACCTGTTGCCTTTATAGCATTCTCCTTTATTGCCCTCAAAAAATTACAGGGTACCAAATGAAATCCTTTATTATGTCTTAGTCCCTGATACAGCAGAGCTATAATCTTTATTAATGCAATTTTATATCCTCAGAAAAATTAATATCTTCTACGTAAAGCCAATCTGACTGTTGACTGTTTCCCTTGTATGTAGCAAAGGCTGAGATCCCAGCACCTCCATTCCTGTGTTTCCCTTCACACTTACTTTAGGAGGAAAATAGTGGATATATGGCTCATGCTTATCTCTGTGCTGCTAAGCCAAGGGTTGAATAAACTCACGGGCAGGTGTAAAAATATATCCTAGGTCATTACATGGCCTAGGACGTCCCTGAAGGACAGTGCCTGTTTTTTGGCAGTGTTTTGTTTACTTGCTTTGAGATTCACTTGCATCACAGGCTCTGTAACCCGCTGTGTCCCTCAGGCCATGCGTGTCCAGACGGAGATGGAGCTGCGCCTGTTCCAGCAGAACGAGTTCATGTATCACAAGATGAGGGAAGCTGCCCTCAAAAACCAGAAGATCCAAGTCATGCCTGAACCCAGCAATGAGAACGCACCAAGCCTCTTCCACAAAAAGGAATAATGGCACGAATTCATGCCTGTAGGATGACATCACCTTGTGGCACTTCCAAACATTGGGAATGTGTTATAGGAATGTACTGTATCCATAAGGATTGTTTCCAGTGGCACCAGTCTGACAGCATGGACCTGCTGGGGGGAAATCCTGAAAAATATTCTGGGGGCTTAAAGCAGAAGAGGTGTTGGCAGAAACAACATCCCTTTTCTACCACTAGCATTAAAAATCAAAGCAGAACAACATGTTATAAAATTATTTACATTTTTATTGGAAACCTGTTTCTCTCTACACAAGTCCTGATTATGAAGTCCTTTGTTAAGTTTTAAATGATTTTTCCTAAGTGTTTCTGTTACTTCCTTAGGATGACATAATTTCTTTCCAGTGATGTCCATGGGATGGTAGAAGTGGGAAGCTGGTTCCAAAAAGTGTCACGTATGTCTGTGGGCATTGAGTGCAAATTCAGTAATACCCAAAGATGGTGTTTGTGTTCAGTGGTATATTTTTGACAAAAAGCTGCTGAAAAATGATTCTATAGCTGGCACAGGTGCGACATCAAACTGTGGGCACTTTGCAAGTGAGACTAAGTGGAATTCCTATATCAACATAAGTTAATTAGGGCAAATTAGTCTCCTTAGTTAAAAATCAGAAAATGTCTGCAGTGATTGCAGCAGATGGGCATGAGATGGGTCCGTGCCAGAAGCCAGTTGCTCTGGTGTGGTGCACTGGCTGTGTGGCTTGTTGTAACTGAACAAACAGTTTCCAAGAAGAGGTATCCACCTTTGCTCACCTGATGCCTTTAGGCACCTGGCTTTTGATTAGATAGGTGCTTAATCAATTTTGCATTAATAAAAAAAGGGATGGCCCATGGATCAGCTGCCAGTGGACATCCAGCGGAGCTAAGGAAAAGTTTAAAGGCAATGATTGGATTTCTAGCTTAAAAAAGGTCTTTGCTGTCTGCCCATCTGTCTCAAAATACAACTGGTTTGCTCCAGACCTTCAGTGGCAGCCAGGAGATGGAAAGGTTTTTCAGGAATCCCATGCCTGCTCCTCAGCAGAAGAGCAAGAAAACAAAACCCTTTTCCTGCTCCTGCATCCACCCAGCCAGGGCAGCCCCGGGTGCAGGACCCACTGGGACATCCCCAGCATGATGCTGGCACCTGTCCCCAGGAAGGAGCTGGAAGAGCACACATCAGCATGGGGCACAACTCAGAGGATCACTCAATGGCTCTGAGCCTGCACCCTGGCTCAACTCCATGAAGTTTTTCATAAAAATTTTATTTTAATGGATGCATTTTACACAGTAAAATGATTGGTATGTGCAAGGTTTCTAGACTCTCTTGCTGATTCTCTTGAAGGTGAGGTCACCCAATGTCATTGTCTGAAAAAAAAATGGAGAGTGTTAGCTTTTTATGGAAATGTAGAATCATAGAATATCCCAAGTTGGAAGGGACCCATAAGGATCATCATGGTGCTTAGCTCCAAACTCATACGTAGAAAGGATCTGGTCTTGCAAATCAAAACAGGACTGATTCCCACTCTATCTCCTATAAACTGAAATTTTAAAGCTTTGGATTTCTTCTTGAATACCCCAAAGCAGGTAGGGTTAATCTGGCATCCCCCAGCTGGGATCAGTTTGCTGTGTCTCTCTTCTTTAAGGGTGCCAAGCCCAGACACACACCTTTACCTCTGGATGGGTGAGAACATGCCCTCATTACCTGAAACCTTGACCAGCAGTGCCTAAACTGGGGTCTTATAAATACTTTCTGGGTCAGACTCTAATGACAATCTACCCCCAGTGCCTGGCTGCGGAGCCTGCATGCAGGCACTTGCTCTTCTCCAGCACCTCCCCAAGGTCCCCAGGATCTCTGTAGGCTTTCTGGAGCCAAACCCTGAAGGCAGCTCTAAGCACCATTACCCCAGCCATTGCCCTTCCACACTTACATGGGTGATGGTGTCTCCGTTGAGCTCGGTGACGGATTTCATCCCTTTCACGTTTGTGATCAGTTTGTTGTTACCCTCCATCTGCACAGTAGCCTGGTAGGAGGACACAGAGGCATTCATGTTATTGCTGGAGGCCACCTCAACCCCTGAATTTTGTCCTCTCCCTTCTGTAGTAGGGGAGGACTGCAGAGCCACCTGGGCTGGGCCAGGGCATGCCATGTCATCTTCTCTCCACCACCCACCTATTGAACACTGCTGCAGAAACCTCCTTTGGGGTGAGGTGACTGGAGCTGGGTGAGAGCATGGGGCCTGAGGGAAGCCTCAATCAAGGTGGGAAACTATTAAAGGAGCTTTCAGAAACTCTATCACGGCTGGAAAGGTCTCCAAGGGACAGGCACATCTGCTGAGTCTCTGCTCCTCAGATGCTGCACATCTCAAAAGGCTACAGACAGCCCCAGCACCCCTGGGGCAGCAATGAAATCACTCAAATAAATAACCCAGCAAAGCCCAACTCTGTTTATCTGTCTTGCCCAGCTATAAGATGTGTTCATCTGTCCTTGAGCTGCTGGTTTATGGAGGATAACACTCTTCTAATAGCTCTTTTCCCCTACTTTATGCCAAAGGGACTTCAGTGATGCTGGAAATTGTGATACAGCCAGTACAGTTCCAGATCCTGATTTACCAGGGCATTTTTTTGGTGATCATCCCTCTTACTTTCAAAAGCCCCTGAAATATCATCTTCTCCTGAGGTAGAGGTGAGAGGCAATATTTGCCAGTCGTGCTACCTTGACATTTTATGAACCATTGGAAACTAATGTCCAGGAACAGGAGCTGAACAGTTTCAAGGGTGATAACTCCTCACCTTGCCAAATCATCTCACCCAGTGTAAACAGAAGCAGTGGAAAAGGGTAGTAGAGAAGTTAACAGCTACTGGGGCTTTAAAGGAGAGATTTATTGGTTTATGATTCATTGTCTGACCTTTCTGCACTACCTTTGAGTCAACAAAATGAAGGTGGAGGTATGTTTTGTGTTGCAACATGACAAAAAGTCAATCCCTTCCACCTCAAATCTTTCAGAACTTTTGCTGTCAGAAAAATTTACTAAAGCATCTCTATCCCCTTTTTCCAAATGGGATATTAAAACACTGGCTTCCAGTGTTTTCCAGACCAGGTATTAAAATAGCTTTACAAATGCAAGAAGTGCAGAAGTGCTTTAACACCTCAGTCCCTTTGCTCAAATGTGGAAGGAATGGCTGGAAGGGAAAGTTAATGTCACTGTGCCCACACAGCCCTGGCAGAGGAGTGGCTGATCACTCACCTTTGCTTTCTCTCCTGTCAGCATCTCAATCTCAGACTCCTCCCCAACGGTGAACTCATTTGTCAGCACTTTGGAGCCAGTGGTCACGGTGACCTTGAACTTTTTCCCATTCTGCACAATTTCTGTGGTGCTCTTGAGGTCCTTGCCCTTCTGGATCTGGTCATCAGGAAGCCCTGCCCGGGAACAAGAGACATTAGGTGAACCATGGAGCCAACTGTGGGCAGATTGCTGCTGAATGAATGAATGTGGCAGGATTTGGGGACGTACAGCTGGGAAATTTCTATTGCAGTGTGGAAAAAACTTTCAATGATGATGCTTCCCCAAGAGCTACATATCCCTGAGTCTGCTGGGAAGGAAGAATAATACTGTCATCCTGGATTTTGTGTGGGAACTAGACATATTCCTTTTCTCACTGACCTGGCTGGCAGCACAATAGGTACCTCCCTGACTAAGAAAAAAGTCCTGCTTTCTTTTATTCACTGAAAGACAAGAAAAAATGGAATAAATCAAGGTAGAAAGAAGGAACCAAGTGGTTTTTTTATGAGATTCAGGGTTCCTCAGAACCAGTTAACTAAAATCTTCTCCCAAAACCTGAAGCTGATCTGACGGGTAGAGCCCCCCTGACACATAACTGTGCAGAAACAGTGCCAAGTCCTCCTGAATCCCCACAGGAGCACATTCCCTGTCACAGATACTGATGGAAATCTCTCTAGCCCCATTCATCATTAAGCAGTTAAAGAGCCTTGGCTATTTTTCTCATCAATGGTTGAATTTGGGGCTTTGCAGCATCGCCAAGCAGCAGCACAGGGGTTGAGCCATGTCCTGCTTGCCCTCAAATTTCACAGCCTGATGGAGCAGATGTGCAGTCCCCCTAAGCCACCGAGGTCCCGCTGGTTTGTCATGTGTGTGCAGCACTTGGGCAGTGGCTGCAGAGCCTGTGAGGATTGTTTTCTTGCAGGCCATAAAATTTCACCCATCATCTCTTGATATCCAGCCCCCAGCCAGGGAGATGCTTCCTCTTCTATTTTGATATCACATGCCCACACACATACATTTAAACACCCCAACAGCTTCAGGATGACAGACAGAAATAGGAAATCTGAGAGATTTCAGTCTATGTCATCAGCACATAAGCACAGTTGGCTCCCAAAAATTAGTGGGCTCTGTAGAGGCAAAGCAGCACATAGCACACACAGGCACTTACCGAGGGCTTTCATAAAGGGCTCAAAGTTTTCCTGGGACTGGAGTTCATACTTTCCAGTGAAGCTCATGGTGGAAAGGCTCTCTGTGCTCCCAACACAAGAGAAGGTGCCTTGCTTGCAAGCAGAGCCTGGTTTTATATGGTCCTTTTGCCTTAAAAGTTGGCCAGAGGTGAGATGATGTAATTGTTTTATGGTCATGTTCAAACATTAACGTAAAACTGGGCAATGGTCAGTGATAAATTGCTCTACATTTTACGGACCACAATTTACAGTGTGGGGGCAGGGAAAATCCCATATAATGAATTTTATGGAAGTCGTGATGTGGCATTGATAAACAAATGATAAAAAAATAATAATAATTGTGCAAAGAGATTAACTATCAGAGGAACGAGCCGAATCATCTAATGAGCTTGCAGTCTGAAAGCACGTACCTGGAGGAGGAGAAAGTGGTGAAGGATTGTGTGTTCCCTGGAGCTGACTCCAAGGGGGTTTCTGCTCGCTGGTGTGTGCACACAGGGTCTTTAGCACGGGCATGAAGAGTGGCTGCACACTGACAGGGACTGCCTTGCTCACAGACTCACAGACACAGACCTCAGATATAGCAGTAGTCACAAAACCATCATTGTCCCGTAAGAAAAAACAAGACTCAAAATCAATTCCTGGGCTTGCATGGGCCCCTCTGAAGACTGCAGTTTCATTCAGGCTCCATCACTATGGCCCTGCCTCCAAGAAAGGGGTTTTGTATGGATAATGCATCGGTGCCATTAGTGATCTACCAGAGCTAAAACACCCTTTCCTCTCCTTTCCCCAGAGGAGCCACAGTCACTCCTGCACTGAAGAAGTGTTGTGGCCCTCAAAGCTGCATTTCTCCCAAATGCCACGTCAGAAGTAGGTCCAGTGGCAGCCTCCAAGCTGAGCCAGATTCCTCCCTCCAAAGTGGGACTCAGAGCTGGGCTCCTCTTCCAGTCCAGTCCCTTTGCCTGAGCATCCCGGATTGCTGCATGGCATCTGAGCATCCATCCTCTGGGTCTGGACTCCCAGGCTCAGCTTCTTGCTCCTGTTTCATCCGCTGCCCCAATGAATTCCTTCTCCCTCCCAAAGTCAGCCCAGAGTTTTTCCCCCTTTTCACTCACATGCCTTCTCTTCGCAATTCTTCCATTTTGCCTTCTCACAGCACCTTTGTCCTTTTTTGAAGTGAAGTCATGTATAAAAATGTAAAAGACCTGCCTCCTTGCAATTTGGAGATGTTGTCAGAGCCTTCTGCAGCTGCCTGTCCTGCTCCTGCCGGCTCAGCTTGGCCTCTCTGTGCTGCAGTGGTGCTCAGTGACACTGCCCAGGCCAGATCAGCCTTGGTTTCTGGTTAATTAGTAGAGGCATTGTCTGCTGGACAAGGCAGGAGGGGGAAAAGCTCAGCAAGGGGGGTGGGTGGTGGATGAAGTTGTCTGGGGGGAGGAATCTGTAGGGGATGTCATCCCTGTGCACCATGGAGGGGGCCAGGCTGATTCAGAGAGCACTCATGGCAGGTGGGTTGATTCAGCAATTTCTCCAAACAGCTTTTTTTGGCTTTTTTCCCTTTTATCCCCTTGGGAATGACATCACCTTAGGAATTGCCTTTCACTTGTTTCCCTGCCTGGGTGAATACCCCAGCGTCACATGGGGCTGCACTGACACACGTCCCTTTTTAGCATCTCCTCTGTGGTGACAGTGGTGACTGAGCTTTCTGGCCAGATCCTGGCAGCAGCTGGATCTGGCAGCTCCCTGCCTCCTACGACGGGCCACCTGGAAGCACATGTGCCTCCCATATATTCGTGCCTTAGACCTCTGGCTACTCCTCCAGGCAATTCAGATCCCCTCTCTCTGCATGATGGGGAGAGAGATTCAGATTTGAAAAAACTGCAGAGTTCCCAGGCCCACAGTGTCCCTGGAGGCCAAGCTCCTGAGGTCTGGATGTTGCCCATCAAATGTTGAAAGGGGAATATAGTTGTCCAGGGCTCTCTTGGTAATTGGGCAGAAATAGTTTGAGTAGTTCAGAGAAATGGACAACTCATGAGACAATTTGCCCCATTTGGGACCCACGTTGTTTTCTGCAGGTATCCTCTCCTCTTCTACTTACTGTGAATACCTGTAACACATTTATGCTCCCAGCCTTGGTGTATTGGATAAATGTGAACTATGATCACTGCTGGAAAGTTTGGAAATGCAACCAGCTGATTTTTGATCACTGATCAAAAATAAAACCTCTTCATATTCTTTTGGACTTGGGTTCTTTTATTTCTTTTAGCAAAGAAATGCAGAAGTTCTTATAAAAAAAGAAGAACGCATATTGAATGAAATTTGGCCAAGGTAATTATTATCTAGCCAGGCCTGCTGAGCAAACTGCAGGTGAGATAAACTTAATCTCAATAGCAAAGTTCAGAATACTTGTACATCTCCCCACCAGAATATGGGATCTTTTAAAATATGATATCACTTTAACTTTCCAAGGCCAAGAAAATGCCCCTGATTTGCATTAACACAAGACCAAGTGTGTGATAATTTGATTAAACTAAATCCATACCCTAAAACCTAAGCTTGGTTTGTAGAAAGGGAAAATGCATGGATAATTTTCAAAAATTACTGAGGAAGCTACATCTGGGGGGAAGCCAGCAGGTACTTCTACATTTAAGATGCTTTGAAAATAAAGCATAGATCTTGGAAGCTTGTCAGAAAAATGGACACAAGTGTCTCATTTCTGCTTTTTGCACCTGAATCAAAGATATGGACATGCAGAAAGTCTCACCTCCTATTTAGACACCTGAATGCTCTGTGTCCCAAGGTGATGAACCAGAGAAATGCCCATTGGAGGGACCTTTGAAGGTCTCTGGTTCAACCTCCTGCTCAAAGCAAGAATATCACCAATGGATCACCCATGGTTTGGGCCAAATCTCAAACCCCACCTCCTTTGCCTCTCTGGGTACTCACCCTGGGCCTCCAACACCCACCTCTTGAAGTAGAGGTGCTCAACCCAAACCTCCCAAAGTATAATTTGTGGCTGGTGCCTCATGTTACAACACCAAGAAGAGCTTGGCTCTGTCACCTCTGTAGCTGCCCTTGGAACAGTTGCATCCTTTTACCACCTTCCCTCAACCTTTCCCTGGGATTCCTCATCCTGGCTCCCATTTATTCAGCGTCTGCCAAGGCAGTGGGAAACCACCCTCTTATGTGCACTGCTTCTTGGTGATTTGGACATTATGCTGGGAAACCGGATTTTGAGTTTTAGGGCTCCTACAGAAAAAATCTCCCTCTGCCTCCTCCAGTTTGAACTAAACTCTTACTTAAGATCTGAACTATGAAAATGACTTAAAGCCAAAGCACTGTGTGGGGATAGGCACTTTGCTCAGCTGGCAGCCTTGTGGAGGTCTGAGAATGTCTTCATGCACCTCACCTCTTATCACCTCCTCTTGCTCCTCTTGTCTATCCCACCAGTGAGTTCCCAGTCTTTGTGAAGCCTTTGGTTTCCCCTCAGTTCTTTGGGAACCTGGCGCTGAGTTCTTCACTAGTATTTTCTTGGTCCAAATGTGAAAGGCTACAAGCTGAGGCTTTTGTTGATTTAGTCCTGGATTTTTCTAGTGCAGGTCCAGCTGGACACCCCAAAAGCCATTTTTTTTGGAAGCCTGGTCACAAGTTTGCCGGTCACAGATCCCCAGGTGGGCTTCCCTCTGTCTCAACCTATAGTATTGCTTAGGTAATCCCTATTTCTGCTGCCCTTGAATCTGGGAACTTGGTCTGCTGCCCAGTTTTCACATCTTTGATCTGATTATTTTAAACCTTGAGGAACAAAGGTTTCTTTGGCAGGCCACATGGCTGCACTGCTTTGAAAGGTTGCATGGGATGGGAAAAGATGCCACTGCTGCTGTGAGCTCTCTGTCGCTGTTGGTTTCCACCAAGTTTTCTTTGTGCTGCATTACCAAGACAGCACTGAGATGAAATACAGCACCTTTCCTAGATTTTTCTCTTTTAAAAAACAGCCTTGGCAGTCTCCTGGAGACTCCTGCCTCCAAGCTGTAACTTCCAAGCTGCAGACATGCAAGCGCCAGTTTGTATTGGTTTAGATTAGATATGCCACTATCAGAGCCCTGATAAGGCTGCCAAAAGCGGTAGATTGTAGAGAACTGCTGCTTGATAAACCTTTCCATCGATGCTGATATTCAGCAAAGAGCAGCCCTCAGCCCTTGTCATCGTATTACAAAGGAACCAAAGGGAGCAAAGGGTTTGTATTGCATCTCCAAGGGCACAGGAGCACTACCAGTGATAGCATGAGACCTATCACTGCCTTAGCTCTGCCTGCCTATGATCACCTGGGGAGCAGAGCTTACAGAAGACCTTGCCTTTGCTGCTGGGGTCTTGCCTTAGAGTAGGAATAAAGGTACTGGCTGTGCCACTCACCTCCCACTCTCCTGCCTCAAACATCTGCGGCGCAGTGCCACGGCCTCTCTCTGGGCATATGGACCCCTCTGCTTATGCCCTCAGAGGCCATGTATTGTCCTTGGAGCTTGGACTTTGGTAGGATGAGCCTGTCCTCCATCTCACTGTCCAGCTCATGGAGTCAGGGTATAAGGACTGAAAATGGTGCTCTTTACGTATGGAGCTTGGGAAAGGGCAAGGAAAGAAAATGTTGGGAAATAAATGGAGCCGTTAGCAGTTAATGTTCTTGAGTGAGGAAGGTCTGGAAGAGTCCCCTAAGGCAGAGTCAGTGAACATTTAGCCAGTGCAGATGGCTCATCTCATCCCACCGCATTTGCAGTGCAGATGTCCCCATCTGACCCAGGCAGGTGAAGAGCCCCTGAGACACGGGGGGGATGAGTTAATCTTCATCTGCACAAGTGGAGAAGACTGGGATATCGGGATGGAAAGGACAGCAGCCTCCAGTGGTCAGATGAATTCCAGTCCTGGAGGGACACCTGGCTGTTGCTGTGGGCCAGTGCTCACCTCTGCAGCTGGCCTGTGCTCTCCTTCATCCTGATTTGTCGAGCTCAGTGGCTCACTTAATGCTGCTCACAGGGGGTTGCAGCTAATTAGTCAAGGAGAGTTTCTCAGGCCCATACAGGCATGAGGAGGAGCCTGTTCCTGTCTCTCTCTGAGGCAAATATATAACCACAGTTTATATATAAAATAAAGGAAAGTTCAAGCAGTAACCCCCAAGACCTTCCCTAGCAGATGGTGTTCCTTGGCTGGGGAAAGCAACAACACAAGAGTGATGCACCAGCCAGAGGGTCAGTGCTGAGGCAGGACACTGCTGTGAGGAGGGCAGAGAGGTTGTGTGGGTCTGAGAACACCTGAGTTTTCACCAGGTTCAGGACCATAGAGATGCTCCATGGGAAACAACCACGGTGCCAGCAAGACCGGAGCTGTGGACAAAGACCAGGATTGCCACTGTCCATGTCCCGCTTTGTCCTGTCGTGTTTGCTGTAATCAAAGTGCTGCCCTGAGCATAGATATCCCCATTTTTCATATTATAGAGCACGCAGAGACTGCCTGACTTTCCCAAAGTCACCTGGAGAAGCTGTGACTGCTCTGCCTCCAGAGCATCTCTTCTGTCAAGTCCCTAGAGGGCTGTCACAGAGCCCATATCCTATGGGACAGCAGATTTTGAGATAAAATTAGGCACGGGGGTATATTGTAAACCTCGGTATAGTAGGACCAGATTGCACAACCTTTTCCAGGTAACAGTGTCTCCAGTACCCCACCACGGGAGCCAGCACTGCACAATTCCCTGTGCTCCCTTTCTGCTCTGTCTTTATGAGCGGGTCCTACACTTTGATCTACAAGATCCAAGCCACAACACAGATGTCCTTGAGCTGGTTGTGAAACACCTCCTTCTGAGAAAAGAGTTGCACCCATCTGTGGGGAAAGGGCTGCCGTGCTGGCAGCTCCTTGCCCTGCAAAATCATCAGAGGTGGACGTGGAAAAGTCTCTGTGTTTACACTGGTAATGAGAGGAGTTGACCCACGTGGCAGTTCTGCTTCATGGCAGCTAAAATACTGACAATTTATATTGCCAGTATTTCAGCTTTGGACACTTTAGTTCATCTACAGTTGAGCATTTCTGCCTTATATCTCCTTGACATGAGGCTCAAACAAATGATTCTGGGTGCACATTTGCCTGTGAAGCTGCAGACACTCGGCAAATCTCCTCAGCCCCCCTTCCCATGCCATGGATCTCCAAATCTGACCAACATGTGAGTCTGCCCCTGAGATAGGCAGAACTGAAATAGTTTGATTTCTGCCAAACCCTTACTTTTTTCTTTTTTTTTTTTTTTTTTAATCTAGAATCTCCCTGTTTTGTCTGTGAAAGTTCACACTTCTGTGCCTGAGAGAGCACAGGACATTTAACTTCTTCAACAAGCCCCTGTAATAAGCTTATATATTTTTCTCAGCCAACATAATGCACTTTCCACTGGGATCTATTCTGTATGGGGTAGTAAATGGCATTTCAAAACCCCAGATATTCTGATCACCCCCTTACCAAACCTGCCTGGTGTCGCCTGGGTCACTTATAGGCCTGAAAGCTTTTATTTGCGTGTGGTTTTCAGGCCCCAAACAGCTTGTGGGCAGAGACAGGACTGGGAGATATGGGGAGATTTTTGTGCTGCTCAGGGTTATGAGATGCTTTTTTGTAAAAATTGGTGCATTCTGGACCTGGTTGAAAGGTGGGGTCCTTTCTGTGTGCCCCTTTCTGAATGCCTCCCTGGGGGTAGGAGAGATCCTGCTGAAAGGAGGGTGATAAAAGCCGTTCTGTTGGCTCAGGCCTCTCAGCTTTGTAGCCTGACCTCCTGACCCAGAACTTCGCCCTTGCCTCCTCTTCCTCAGCTCCAAAATAGGGCTCTCTGGGGAGATGTTTCCCATCTGTTTTTGGGGTTGCTGGATGTCCATGGCCTGAAAGGTGGAGGCAGGTGTGGGAGGGTGGGAAAGGCTAGGTGGGGGAGCAGGGAAAGTCTTCCGAGGCAGCAGTTCTGCATCTCCTCCGTGGACACAAGGCATTGCCGCCATCTAGTGACATGGGATTGACAGGTACAGCCCGTGTTCCTGAGAGCTCCTGGGGATGCTCCACGGGGGGAACGGACAGGGCACCCCAACCCAAAGCGTTGCTTGTGCTTGGGACATGTAGGGGGGGCCATTGCTGGAGAGGATGGAAAAGCGGCTCAGCAAACATGAAGCTGAGAGTGTTGCCGTGCTTGTCTTTGAGTGCTGCAACACTTGGGCCTGAGACCTGAAATTTCATGGGAATTTGTGCAGGAAAAAACTGCCTCCTTGCTGTTATATGCACCCTTCTGCTTCCTCAGTCCTCATCATGCTTTTGGATGCCTTTGGAAGGCGAAGAGGCTGAGAAAATTCTGTCTGGAGGGATGAAAACCGATGCACTACAAAAGAAAAGGTTGGAAAAGTCTGACAGCAGCCTTAGCTGGGGTTTGCAAATACAGCTGGTTCCTGACATATGAGTCCAAAGAGCATGAACTGCTCAGGAACAGACAAGGTCCAAAGTGGGAGTGCTAATACCAGCAGGAATATGGAGGCACTGAGTAAGACCAGGTTAATTAAAGGCTATTACATTTTCCAGCCCTTGATCTGTTGCTGTGGTAGATGAGTCCTGACAGGCTGGTGTGCACGGGCACCCTCTTCTCCTTTCTTTTAAAGTTCAAAATAATATTAAAGAATCATAGAATGAGTCATAGAATCATAGAATGGCCTAGGTTGGAACAAATTTAAAGATCATCTTGTTACAACTACCTTTCACTAGACCAGGCTGCTCAGAGCTCCACCAAAAATGAAATGCTACTCTGAACCTGAATGCATGGAAATTTCAGGGCTGAGCATGGGAAAAGCTCTCCCACTAAATGCTACTGTCATCCCAGTGAGTGTCCCAGGCACTTCCTCTGTGTTCACCTGTGGCTGCCACATCAGCAGTCCCTGCATCCCAGCATGAACCACTGATCCTGTTAGTGAGGGTTATCACTGCTGATAGGCCCAGGGCATAGACAGGCTTGTGGCACCAGCCCTGCTGTAAATGCAGATAGCAGGTGTCCTGGTATAACCCATTTTTTGCAGGGTTCCTGCATCTCAGAGGGATGTATTGCTGAAGGGATCATCAATCTCATTGTAAACTCTTCACTTGAAAAAAAAAAATTAGCTGAATCAGTGAAGTCATCTCTTTAGCTGTGCTAAAACACATTAAAAGAACTAGACATATGGTAAGTAAATGCCCTGAGGCATAATGTCTCATGGTGGTGGGAATAGGTGAGGTCTCATTGAAATGTGCTGGGTGACCCTTGCAGAGATGATCAGATGCACACTGGTGATATTAAATTATTGCACTGGTAATAAGAAATATCAGCTTGTGCAGCTTTTCCTATGGATTTGATTCTTCCCTTGTTCTAGCCTGAATCTGAGCTGAGCTCAAAGTGTGCTCTGTCTCTGTGTGGGCAAAGAGGGAAAATCCTAAATTCACCTTGGCACACTGTTGTGGGAGAGGGAAGAGGTCAGAGTAGAGGAGACAAACCATGTATCCTGCAGCTTTTAATATTTCCTTTATTTCCAATATTTTGCTGTTTTTTTCCAGAGGTGCTACTTGCAGTTTTTTGTGTCAGCTACCACTGGAGCATGATGAGGAGTTGAGGCTCTGATCTGGAGACATCAGATGGCCAGATGACCTTGGGAACTTTTGATGACTTCAGGGATGACTCTGGAGAGGTTTCACCATCAATTTAAACTTGAGCCGTCCCTGATGAACAAGGTCCAGCCCCGTTGCCTGTTTTTTTCTAGCACCTTCTGAAAGGACCTGTATGCATATCTGGGATGGGCACAGACCCCCATTGCAGGGTCAGCACCCCACAGCATGCCAGTGTGGCATGAGGACCTGGTGGCTGCGGGTACAGGGAGGTCACAGCAGGTTTCATTTTTGCAATGTCATGAGGAACGCTGAGCACAGAGGTCTCCTGACGGTGGAGAGATGTGGACTGGTTGGGTGATATAATTTATGTAATTATAGATAAGTAGCTCCCTGCCTAGTTGATTTCCTAGAGATTTGCTCTGCTCCGCCCACTGTGTGAGCTCAGATAAATTATTAAAAAGCTTCTGTTTGCTTCCTGCTCTGCACAACACCATCAGGGGCAATTTTGCCCACAGCCTGAAGTTTTGCTTCTGCCTCCTGCTGAGGAGCTTGCAGAAGCAGCCCTTTGGAATGCTGGGTGGAGAAAAGCCTGTTTCTATGTCAGTGCTCAGGTCAAGGACTGGACCACCCTCTTCTGGAAACTTTTCTCGTGGCTCCAGTTACTCCCCAGAGTTAAGAGAGGCAGTGTAATGTGTCAGACTCCAGTGCTTTGGCAGGCAATGTGTCCCCTGCTGCAGACATGAGCTCTTTGGGTCATGGCAGGCTGTTATCAGCCATCCCTTGTACCTCTGCACCTTACCTGCCTGGACTGAAGTCCCCACTCAAGCTCCAGCAGCACACACTGAGCTGCACCCTGGGTTTGTGCAGCCACTGGTCCTGTGTCAACATTTCTCTTCAAAAAGCATTTATATTAAAATAAAAAGTAGAAAAGGGATGCACAGCCATTCCCTGCAAAGGAGAACTGATTTCTTTTTACACAGTCCTGCACATGTCCCCTCTCCCTCCCGTGCCTCAGTTTCCCCATCGGTGGGACAGGGCTGTTAGGAGGCTGAACACTTGCCTTTGCACAGCTGACTTACAGACTGATCTTTGTTGCAAGGATGTTTCTGACCCAAAACCTGCTTTAAGCAGGTTCAATCTCAAATTGAAATCCAAGCTCACAGTTACATCAGAAAAATGTGTTTCCTCAGCTGGAGTGTCTCTGGAGTTATACTGGAGACAACAAGCCCTCTGTGTCCTGTGCTTAATCACCCTCATGTTAAAACCTCTCTCCTAATATTTAACTAGATTTCTCCCGAGCTGCAGCATATTCCCATTCCCAGGCTCGCTGCAGGGAGGCTTTCTCTGCTGGGCTGCTCCACAGGGAACTTTGTCCGGTTGCAACGGGGACAAGTTTTCCGTGAGCACAAGTGCAAAGGGTGAGCGGGTTGGAAGCGGTGGCAGCAGGCTGTTTGTTCGCTCTCCTGCCGCCCATCCCTTGCCAAGGGGCTGCAGCGTTGGCCCAAGTGCCCGAGGTGGGAACGGCCGTGGGAGTTCACGGGACCTGGGTGGGAAACAGCCTCTTCCAGCAGCGCCGGCGGCTCCTCGGTGGGATTTGCGTGAACACGGTGGATTTAGCTCAGCCCTTCCTGCGCCGAGTCAAGTCCTGCCCTTAGTTTAACCCCTTTGAACAGAATCAGCCTGCTCTAAAAACATAGTTATTTCCCTTTTCTTTAAAAAAAAAAAAAAAAAAAAAAAGCTGCAGCTTTAGCAAACAGCCCACAAGGGACATGACGTGCTTGTGCAGCGGCTTCTGCGCCGTCAGGGCTTTTCCTCGGGCGGGAAGTGTCTCCGGGGCAGGGTGGGAAGGGTTGAAGGGAAAGCGAGACGAGGAGGCTCCAGCCACCTTGGCACAAATCCCAGGCAGCCATGGAGTATGTCCGTAGGGGAAGTTTTTGCGGGAGTTGAGGGGGCTGCTCTGGGTCCCTGGCGGTGACAGCAGTCCCTCCCCAGCAGCCATGGAGTACATCAGCACACGGGGCGGCACGGGGGCCGTTGACTTCGAGGGAGCCCTTTTCTCCGGCTACGCGCCCGACGGGGGCCTGTTCATGCCCCAGAACATCCCCTCGCTGGACAGGGACACCCTGCGGCGCTGGAGCAGCCTGTGCTACCGTGGGCTGGTCAAGGAGCTGTGCTCCCTCTTCATCCCAGCCGACCTGGTCCCACGGAACACACTCAGTGGTGAGCGCAGCCGCGCAGGGAGCTGCTCGCGGGGATGTGCGAGAGGATTTTAGGGTGTTCAGATGCACCTGCCTGCCTAGACCCCACCCTCTCACGGCCCCCAGAGGATGGAGCCTGCTGCACTATTGCCTGCTTCTTTCTGAACCCTGATCTCCTCTGTCACCTTTCAGTGACGGACAAAAAGTGTTCCCTGTGTGCAAATAGGGATTCTGGTGACTTCAGTAGCGATGGCTGATGCTGTGACCCTGCTCGCTGCTGGGTCACCCGGCTGCTCTGCTGGGCTCCAGACTTGCCCTCCCTCCAGGGCTTCCTGCTGCTCCACGCTCTACTTGAGACCACATTTTTTATGTTTTACATCATTTAAGAGCTGTCACTTCCACCAGAGGGCAGCTGCAACCTCTGTCTCAGCGACACACAGTGATAAAACTCAGGTTTCCTGCATTTTATATTTTAGCACAGTTTTCTCTGATTGTGTATAGTGTCCCCTGGGGTTACTTGGCATAGAATTATCAAACACCATGAAGCTGGTTTATTCCTAGTAACTACTTATAACTTGTTGGATGTCTGTCACTGCTCCAGCAACTGAGTCTTTGGTTGTGCAGAAAGGTACCAGGAGCATGAGGAACACAGGTGCAGGAAGCCATGGGTCAGAAAAACACTCAATCTAACAACTCCTTTAACCATTTTCCCTCTAGACCTGATCGACAGGGCCTTCAGCAGGTTCAGGCACGAGGATGTTGTCCATTTATCCAGGCTGAAAGATGGGCTGAATGTTTTGGAGCTGTGGCACGGGGTTACTTTTGCGTTTAAGGATCTGTCCTTGTCCTGCACAGGGCAGTTTTTGCAATATTTCTTGGAGAAAAAGCAGAAGCACATCACTATTCTGGTGGGTGAGTATGTCTCTTTGTGGGGGGTAACGTTTCTGGGCAGGCCTTTACATTGAGAGCCACCATCCCACAGCCCTCCCTACAGATGGCCCAGGGTGGTATTGCCTAATGGGTGGCTGGTGAATGATCTCCAGGCAATGCCAGGGTGGCTTCTCTAGTCAAAAGCATCTCATGGAGCTTCTCTGTGTCTTTTCCTAAAGTGCAGCGATGCAGGTTTGACTGATGCATCAATTTTTTTCTTTTCTTGGTGCTTCCTCACTTTGAAACAGGGACTTCAGGGGACACAGGGAGCTCAGCCATCGAGAGTGTGAGAGGGCAGAAGAACATGGACATCTTTGTTCTGCTGCCCAAGGGGCTCTGCACCCAGATACAGGAACTTCAGATGACCACTGTCATTGAAGACAATGTCCACGTCTTTGCTGGTTGGTACTGCTGTTGGACTGTCCACTCTATGGCCCTGCTGTGTCAAAACCATGACCCTTAAAGTCTCAGGGAGATGCTCAGTGGGATTTACAGCTTTAGCAGCTGTAGCCAGTCAGGTCATTGCCATCACCGTGCCCAGACAGGAGACGACATCCCCAGCTTGGTGACCAAGTAGTTCAAGGCTTCTTTGTCTCCTGGCCACAAATCAGAGCTGCCTCCATGCAGGCAGTTGGTGTTTGGCTACACTGAGTTCAGCACCATTTCTTGACACTAAAAGGATTTGGAGTTACCCCTTCCCTCTGTCTTCTCACCTTCATGTGTGATCCATCCCCTACCACCTTGCCATCCCCATGGGTCAGCATCACCACTGGGTGCTTGAGCTGCTTGAGTTCGCATGGACCCTTCTGCTCAGCCAGGTCTCACCTTGGCATCTCACAAGGGGAAATACATATTTGGGAAATATATATTTGGTATAAGCAGGAACCCAGAGTGCCGCGTCTGCAGAAACCACCCGACATCCACAGGGTGCCACTCAGCCCCCAAGGCAGATGGGCCACAGCAAACCCCAGGGCTTGAGACTAACCCCTGTTTCTAAGCAGAAATTACCTTATGCCTGATGCACTGCTGTTGGCAGATCTAATCTTTCCTTTCTCCTTTTGGCAGCTCATGGGAACAGCGATGAAATCGATGAGCCCATCAAGGAACTGTTCGCCGATGACAATTTTGCCAGAAAATACAATTTGATGAGCTTGAATTCCATCAACTGGTCTAGGATTATGGTGCAGATTGCTCACTACTTCTATGCTTACTTTCAGTGTGCCCCATCCCTGGATACCACCCCGTTGCCAGTGGTGGAAATTGTTGTGCCAACAGGAGGAGGAGGAAATATCACAGGTAAAGGGAAAAAGGTTAGATAAGAGAGACAATGCTGTGATCTATAGACCAAAAGCACTTCAGAGATACTAGGTATTGCTATTTATTAAAACACCCACTCTCTGGTAGGATTTCTTCAGAACCACTTTTATTTTATTACTCATGTATGCTTATTACTCAATTTAGGTGTCACTGATGATTTATAGGATGCAGAAAAACCCAAACCACCCTTTGATGATGACTGTAGCTATCTTGAGGATGGGAACATTAGGAGAGGACAGAATGTGTTTGATGAAGAAAAGAGGGAAAATACTGTGGCTCTAATTTCTTAAGTGAGACATTAACAGAGGTGTGGAATCCTACCAGGTCCTACTCTGGTTTGCATGGTAGTGTGTGGTCAAGAGAACCACTCATAATTGCGTAATCTGGCCTTCTAAATGAGAGCCCTTGTTTGCCTCTGTCCCAAAATAGGCATAGAACTGTCTTATGACAACATCGAAGGGTTTGATATATTCACTGCACTTCCAGGCTGCCCATCTGAGGCAGCATTAACAAGCCCAAAATCTTCATCTCTCTTGCTTGCACAGCACCTGCCTGACCTCTCGTCCCCTAACCATCCATCTTCAAATGTGGAGATGCCCAAAGGTCAGTGTTCAATGGCAGGTGGAGCATTGCATCCCTGGATTTTATAATCTGGTGCTCTACCAAACCCCTATAGACAGATATCTCAGAGTCCACCAGGGAATATCATTTGTGTCTGCTTCTGAGCCAGGTGCTCCATCAATTTGTACAATGACTCCTTTTCTAAACTTCCTTTGGATGTTTCTTCACCAAGCACATATTTATTTTTCACTGTTTTTTCCCAGCTGGCTGTATTGCCCAGAAAATGGGTCTCCCGATTCGAGTTGTTGCCGTGGTGAACAGCAATGACATCATTCATAGAACTGTCCAACATGGAGATTTCTCAGTGGCAGAGAATGTGAAGGCTACATTAGCATCAGCCATGGATATTCAGGTGTGTAGTGAATTGGCCAAAATGGGGAAATAGCAAATATTGAATTTTTTTTCCTTTTACTCTGATCTGCCTGCATAATTCTTCCACTGGCAGTGCCTCTTAGTGATGCATTAGGAGGTGTGACTCCTATTAACCATTTATGCTGCAGACTGCTGAGCTGAAGTAGATCAAACACCCTCCTCCTCACTTTTCAGGGCTTGACTTTGTGATCTTCATTGTTAAATGCTGTGTTTCTGGGGTTTTGTCCTGTGCAAGGTTAGCAAGAGAGGGACGCTTTTACAACATGTGACAACTACAGAACTATAAGTGCCACCATGTCTCAGGGGTTTTGTTGATGCTTCTGAAAGGCTCCACCAAGAGCAAGAGGAGAGACCAGGAAGAAGGTAGGGAAGTCCAGAAGAAATGCCTCATTTATGGCCGTCTGCAGCTTGCTCAGAGCAAAACAAGTCTCAGCAGGCAGGCAAAGGCCTCAGAAAGAAAAGTCGTGGAGGTACAGAAACCAAACACCTGGAAGCAAATACCTCCTGTCTCATCCCTACCCTGTGATCCCCAGGGATTGGATCTGCTTCCAAACAAGTGATCAAAGAGGGAAACCCTTGGTGTTGTGTCTCTGTGGCCTTAAGCTACCTGGATTTTCCAAAAGCTGTCAAACACCTTGGGAGGACCCGGGAGCCTGGAGGGGCTGCCATGCTCTGCAGTCACTAAGTCCCTATGCCCTTATCACCAGGCTGTGCTCTGTAGCTTGGCTTTCCTCCCAAGCCATGAACTTGGGGAGCTCCTCAGAGCTCCAGGGGTATCTGGGCTCCTCTCTGGGCCCATGTCCTTCAGTAACACTGCTCCACTGAGGTTCCCAGGCATGTGCCAGCCTTTGGGATTATGGCAGCAGGCAGTGAGGCAAGGTGATATCCTGAGATTGCTGAGGAGCTGGATGGGTGTATCCCTCTCCACATCCCTCTCCACACCTGTGTGGGACATCGTTGTTCAGCTCACATCTGAAGCATCCATGCAAATATTTCCATAGCATAAGAGATCATTCATTCTTGAGGGGAATTCAGGAGGTCTCTAGTTGGGGCCTGTTTAAAGCAGGGTCGGCCCTGAGGCCACACCAGATTGCTCAGGGATTTTCCGTTTGGGTGTTGGAAACCTTAAAGGATGGAGAGTGCACAGCCTCTTTAGGTTGCCTCTTCTGCAGCCCAAAGTACAGCAGAGAAAATTTTCCCATTAGATACTCCCTAAAGAGTTGAAGGTGAAGCAGGAAGTATGGTGTGGATGAGCCTTGTAAGGAGCAATCCCAGGAGAATCACAGCAGGTGTTGAGTCTTTGCAGCACTTAAAGACAACCAGGGGATGTTCTCTGGCCCTCAGGTCGGGAAGCACCACACAGCTCATGTCCACGTGCCAAAACTTTGTCCCCAGCATGATCTGTCCTTCAAATTGGGCCCCAAAGTTCTCCTGGACAGCTCTGGTGGCATGGGACAGAAGCAGAAGCCTTACTTAGATGGTAAGGCCAGTACTTGCACCAGTGTCCTGGCCCAGTTCAACTTGCTGGTGTCAACATAGAGATCTGTAGTGGAAACCAAAAGGCTGGCATGAATGAAGGGTGAAGGGGAAGCATGTGTAAAGGATGTGGGAGCAGCAGAAAGAAGGACAGGAGAAGGGATGTCGGGAGCATGGTGCTGGAGGAACTTCTAGGAGCAGGTTGTTGAAGTCCAGGGCACACTGACATGTAGCTTCTCAGGACAGCAGAGGGGAAGCAGAGGACAGCCTAAAACAGGGGACAACCTAAAGCAAAGGGCAGGCAACACCCAGACTAGACTGAAGATTAGAGGCTCTGGGAGGTGATGGTGGGAAGATGAAGGACAGAACTGGGGCCATAAGACACCCAGATAAGGACACAAAAGTCTGAGTAAGTCCTGATGACTCTCCAAGGTAGAACAGAATGGAGTGACAAAAGGTCACAGGCAGAAAGATGTGAAGAGTTCATTCAAACCCATCACTTGAACCCAGGAGATGTGATGAGTACTCTGTGAGTTTGTGCCCCTTGTCCTGTCTGTCCCTACAAGGTGTCTCAGCCAAACCACTGGATGAATGTTTCTTAGTGCTTGTAAACATGCAGGGATGAGACAGGGAGAAAAGAAATTGGTTTGTGACCCTCCTCTATGGTCTTGCACAGAGCTCTGCTGCAGTGTTGCAACACTGATTGCTACGCAGCCATACAGGCCAGTCAGGCCCTATATGTGCCCTATAAATTCACAAAGATTATCAGCCAGCCCTGCAGGGAGCTGGGTGTCTCTGTGAGTCACCCAGCATCTGCAACACTGAGTAAACAGCTGGATATTTCTGGTTCTCCAGTGCATGGTGTGTTATTAGCCTGGGTTCATCACGGTGATTGTACAGATGTGGTCACACCGTTGATTCATCAGTCATCCCTGCATTTTCTGTTTTAATCTGATGGTCACTGTCAAACAGGTCATAGGTCCAAAAGACATCGTGTTCCCAAAGACTTGTCTTGGGATGTAGGTGAGCAAAGGGAAGACAAAAAGCCCACGCCAGCTGCCACCAAGAAAAACGCAGCAGTAGGACCTCAACCCTACGGAGACATCAGAGAATCAACACAGGTGGTCATCTCCCGAGAGAGATGCTTGAATTTCCACTGCTCACCTATTGCTTTGTTTTCCCAGGAGCCTTACAATGTGGAGAGGATCCTGTGGCTGCTCTCAGGCTCTGACAGCAGCCTGATTAAAACGCTGATGGAGCAATTCAGCGTATCGAAAAGCCTAAAGCTGCCGGAGGATTTGCACAGAAAGGTCAGTTCCTGACACACACAACACTGTGTATGTGTGTGTGCATGTAAGGAGAATTACTGTTTTCAACTCATTTTCAGAATAAAAAAATCCTAGTGGAGAGTTTCCAACCAAAAATTTACGTGTGAGGCCAGAACAGAAGTTTTATATCAATGTGTGTGCACTGAGATGTTAAAAACCGCTTTTAAATTTTTTTTTTTAAAATGCTCTTTCTTCTTTGCGAAACTAATTTAATAAATGCCTACAATTATTTAGTTAGGATCTGAAACCACCCCATCCTTGTCCATGCACCGAGGCATTGTGCAGCAGATGCTGGCACAAATTGAGTGTTTGGGAGCGGGTCTGATGACTTGGGTGCTGCAATTCAGCCTCACTCTTATGGCAAATGGGAGCACAACACAGAGAGAGATACAAGAGAAAACCAAAGATATGAACTGTGAGAGGGCCAGATGCAAAGCCCTGCCTCTTCCCATCCAAATTCCCACGCACTGGCCCTCACTAAGCATCCTTTGCCTTTGTGCCTGCTCCTGCTTGCGCTGCAGCAAGATAAATACTAAGTAATGATTTTCTTAAAGGCAAGAAGAGCTGTTACACTGAGGTGGGTTTTACAAGTCCCTCAGAGCATGGAAATAGCAGCCAAGAGCTGAGGAGCTGAGTCTCGGCTCCTTTCCACCCACACTCGCAGCAGCTGTGGATGGAAACCCCTTGCTCACACTCCGTCCCCACGGTTGTTTCCAGCAGTGCTGCAGCAACCCCTCTTCCTTCAGCCCTTGGGGAGCCCCGTCCTCCAGCCTCCCTATTTTGAGTTGCTTTGCTGAGTGCTTGTGGCTAATGCCCTGTGCAAAACAAACCTCCCTGATTCCCACAGCTCTCCGAGACCCTGCGATCCTGCTCAGCCTCCGACGAGGATATTGTTGGAGCCATGCGGCGCTGCTGGGAGGAAAACCAGTACCTGCTGTGCCCCCACTCTGCCGTGGCTGCTCACTACCACTACTCTCAGCCAGACGGGTGAGGGAGTGTTGGGGACTGGAGCATCACTATCCCCTTGTTCCTTCAGTATTTCCAGCCCAGGGCTTGCTTACATCCCAAATTTCCTTGCTTTTCTTCCCTTTGCAGCATTCCCCGGTGTTGCTTAGCTCCAGCCTCCGCAGCCAAATTTCAGGATGCCGTGCTCCGAGCTGGCCTGGTTCCCCAGATTGTCCCTGAAATCACTGCCCTAACAAAGATGGAGACGAGGTCCACTCCCTTGGAGCGGGGACAGGACTGGGCACAGGTGCTCCGGGGGCGGATTGGAGCTGTGGCACGGCAGTGGGAGGCAGGGGGGGGTCAGTTTGCACCCCTGGGGCAGCAGGGGATCAGGGGGCAGGTAGTCACACAGACCTGAGGTACTGGGCACAGCTGGCCAATGCCTCCCAGGGCTCATTCTCCGTTCCCAGGAAAGCCCCATGTTATGGTGGGAGCCTCCGTGCAATGATTTATTAGCAAGAACGCACTTCCCCATTGAAGTATATGGACTATTTCATAATATTTTTAGTAAAGAGCTCTGCAATTGTATCCCCTTTGTCCTAATAATTCATAAAATCTGATTGAAACTCTGGATTTACCTGCCTGTTCCATCTTTACTGGCTATTACAGAAAGCTTCCTTAGCACTATCCACTGCTTCTTGAGCATTATCCAGTGATTCTGGCTCCGTGCTGGGATGTTCAGCCCAGTGATCCCAGTAACACCCAAGATGCTCAATGGGAAGCACATGCAAGACTGGAGCTAATCCACTTTACCCATCCCTGTAATTTAGGCAGTGGCAGGGATCATTCCCAGGCATTGAAACTTGCCCAATTATAGTGTTAAATAGCAGATGTTTTCCCTGGACATGCTTATCTTACAGCACTGGAAAGCAGTTCTTTATCTCACAGCTTTTGGTCCTAGTCCTGCTGCAGACTCTTCCCAGGCAACTTCCACTGCAACGAGTAGGAAATGGGAAATTCCCCTTATCCTCTGCCTGAAACTTCAGGTCATTCAATACCACGTTCCCATCATATACATATAAATATATAAATACCTTGTGTGGGAGCTGCCTCCACAAGTCATGAATCTGGCAGGAATCTCTTGTGCCTAAAAAAGGGGAAAGAAAAAGAGGAATAATTATACCAGGGGGGAAAAATCCCCCTCTGCCATCAAAAAAAATTCCCCCTTTGACATCAAAGGAAGTCCTGTAATGGGAGGATTAATTTGAAGGTTTAGTGGCATTTAACAGGGTAAAAGTAAGTTCTGTGAAGTGATTCAGCCTGGGATGTTGCAGAATGTGCGGGAAGAGTGGGAAGATTTGCCTGGGCTGCCTTGCTGGCACCCAGCAAGCCTTTTCCTTGGCTCCCTCCGGCACAACCGGCCCCGTGCCACCTTCTTCCATCCCACTGAAACCCTGCAGGAGAGGAGGGACCTGTGCCTTCTCCAGGATGGGGGGCTGAGGTTGCCCCATCCAATTAATGTGGGTGAGGGAAACAGCTTAGTTGAAAATTATGCAAAAAATCCACAGCACTTGGATGTTTTTAATGGTAACGGCTCTACTTGCATGGATCGAGGAGCTGGGAGGAAAATGGTGGTGGGGTCCAGGAATGATGCTTCACAAGGCCATCATTCACCCTTCCTTAAGAGCCAAACCAGCAAAATACCTCCTATTTAAGTAGCAGCTTAACCTCAGCCTCACAAATAACCCTGCCCTAAAGGATGGCTTTGCACGGGGGGGTGGTGCAGCATGTCACTGGGGGTGCCAGTGAGAAACCCCCTGGTCCCATTCGGCCCCCACGATCCCCTCTGGCTGATGCAGATGTTATGCTCAGTGGACTCCACCACCTTTAATAGCTGCCTCCCCAAATCTTGCGTCTCTCGGCCGGGGACGGCTGCCCAGCTGTAATTTAGCTCTTAATCATAGCTTAAGACACCCTGTGAGAGGGGAGAGGCCTGAAATTCCACATCCAAGCAAGAGGTTGCAAACCCAGCTGTCTGGTCAGGACTGGAGTAGGAGGAGGAGACAGGAGGGCAGGGGGCCAGACCTGGACCCCTCACTGGGGAACACAGGGAAGGATGGGGTGAGTGGGGCTGGACTCACAGCCTGCCAAGGTCCTGGGGTGTTTTGCAAGCAGAAAGCCTGATGAATACTTTCCATGCTCCCATCCCAATGCCCTGAAGCTGTAGGATGGGTAAAGGGTCTGGCCTCTCTGCAGACAATGCCCAGGAAGGGTAAAAAGGAGTTTAATTCTCAACCATCCCTGAGGATACCCCTATGGGGTATCAGATTTTTTGGGGGCAATGACACCACGAAAACTCACTCTGCGATCTCTGGGCCAGAAGCGCAGCAGGAAAAGCCTGTTTCATGCCTGGAGCCAAGGCAGAGGGAGCACAGACAAGCTCAGCTTGCAGGGGGTGCTGCGCTCCCACAGGGGGAAATGCGCAGCCGCACGTGCCAGGCCAGTGCCTGGGATATGGGAAGGAACCTGGCCCCCTGGGCATGCTGTGTCCCACCCTGCTTCGGGACCGTGGCATCTGTGGCCACTCACACTGGGATCTCACACTCTGTCCCCAGAACAGGAGCACGGGGCTCTGCTCACTCATCCTCAGGTCTCTGGCTGAGAGGGAAGGTCAGCTTGGTTTGTTGGAAAGATGGAAAATGGAGGGAGGGAAGTAATGCAGAAAAGTGGTCTCTCCTCACCCAACACTGCTGGGGGGCTGCAGGCTCTGGCAGCCTGACATGCTCCCAATGTTAACAATATATTAGTTCTGCCCCTTCCAGAGCTGATCACAAATCCAGGACAGACTTGTCAAATAGTTCACCTCATACATCAGCTGATCACACTTTTGTTCAGCAAAAATTCCAATTTCAGGTCCCTCGACGCAAGAAGATCTGACATATGTGATCTAGGAGACAGTGATGCCCATGAACCAGTGGCCATACTCCATGGGAATCCCATGTTCCCCCAGAGGTCAGGACATCCTTCACACTGAGGGACATGGCTGGAATGTGTTCCTAACTCCTACATATCTTGAGGAGAAAGTAATGTCTTGGGATCTGTCTGGATACTCATGGGGTCTACCCTTTAGGCCATCTGCCTCCGAGCTTGCAGTTGTCACCTGGTGTTGGGTCCCATGGAGACTTCAGCAGCAGAGCCAAGCTGTGGTTCATCACTCCAGTCATTAATAGTGCCATTAAGAGTGCTATTAATTAAAGGGGTACATGGGATGACTGGCTGACTGCAGCACTGGTTGAAACAAAAGTGAGAGGAATATAAAATCCCGGGCTGCAGTTGAGGATGCTATTTCCCATGAGCAGAGCAGTCCAGCCTTCCCCTGTGCTTTGCCACAATGTCCATCCCCACCTTCCAACTCGTGGCCACCCAGCCCACCCCTCCCACCCAAGGAACTGATTTGGAGGCAATTACTCCACTGACTGGGCTGCCACGTCCCTCTGCTCCAGTGTCACATTTATGAGCTAGGAGGAGGAGTCCACAACGTGGTGAATTATAAGCCAATGCTTTAAAACAGTGTTCTGCAGGTTTGGGAGTTGAATTATTATTTATAAGGCCCTGAGGGTGCCATGTAATTTATGGACAGGTATGAAGACAAGTAGGCGCTCAGACATGGGGATGAGCCCAGTGTAAATGCTGAGATAGAAAGACAGATAGATGGATGGATGAAGATAAGCTTCTTGGCCAGGAGAGCTGGAGGTTGAAAAACTGGAGATTGAGAAGCCTGCCCTTAGACATTTCTGCTCTCAGACATCTCTCCTCTCCTGGAGTGATACCTACTGTCCCAGTACTCTCACTCCATAAAAGTAATTTCAAGCCTAGTGCAAATAATTTGTTTACTTTTTTTAAAATTAATTTATCCCATGTGCAAGGAAAAAAAATAAAGAAGGACTTGCTTTGTTGTTGCAATTTGCTGCTAGGCATTCGTATGTGTGCTAATGATAAGTATTAATTAAATAGCTTGCTGTTGTCTTTTAAATGCAGTTATTTCAGGCTGTAATTAAACACAGACACCCAGCCCTTTCTGTCTGCATAGAAAGAGGCAGGCAGGCCTCCGGAGCTCGGCGCTTCTTTCATTGTAACAGGAGAGAGGTGGAAAATGAGGCAAAACCAGTTTCCATTGAAAACTCACCTCCCTGTACATGTCCTTCACGGGGAAAGCAACCAGCTCAAGGAAATTAAAGGAGTGCGACTTCCAAGATCCCAGCCCTGCAATCAAAGTAAGTTTATTTGCCCTTAAGATCTTGCAGCTTCATGCATTTTCAAGGCAGAGGGGATCACTTTGTTTGATCTCTGGCGCTGCACAGGCTGCTGAACAACACGCTGCTCTGTTCACCGTGCCCAGAAACTTGTTGGCTTATGCACATCTTGATCTGAGAGTCTGGAGATAGGAGTCCATCCCTTTCACTTGCTTCTTGGTTTCCCCAGGTTTTTTCACTCTTGCTGTAAATCCCCACCCGTGTGCTGCTCCTGTCATCAATATTAATCTCCCAGCTCAGGGTGTGCTTCCCAGGGAAACCTGAGCTACCACCAGCTCTGCTGCCCTCTCCCTTTCCCGTCTTGAAATAGAAACTCAGGGCTAAAGCCCTCTAGAAATGCAAATAAAATGTCAGATGCTCACGTGATGGAAAGCAACCCCCAAATAAAATTTGCCATGTGCCCGCGACACCGAATGACACTTCAGCCCAACATTATTTCTGCCCTTAAAGGCAAGTGGTCTTCACTTATCTAAAATGCTGCTGTTAATCAATAAATACATGAAGAGACACTGGCCATCTGCTGTGCAACCTACGAGTTGTGGGCCCTTTTGGGGTCCTGTCAACCCGAGGCTGGATTTGCCAAGGTTTTTTCTGTCCCTTCTAGCCCAGTGGCTGTGTCTGTCCTGTGATTTTGATACAGCTGGACAGGTACCCACAGGGAGTCAGGAACATGGGAGGGGGTCTGTGACACTCTGCAGGCTCCTTCCCTGGTGAAGGGAGTGCAGGGCTGGGACCATCCTCGGGGCTGTCGACGTTAGCAGCAGCAGAAATGGCTCAGAAGAGGATTTCCCCCAGTTAATTGCATTTTAGAAATGAGAAAGGGAGGGGGAAGCATGAAGGGAAAAGCAAAAAAAAAAAAAAGGAGAAAGTAAACATTCAGAAGTTAAATACTTAATTGAAAGGGAATTTGAGCAGAATCTTAAAACAAAACAAAACAACAAACTATAAAAAAAGTATTTCTGAGGCAAAACCAAAATTACTCACTTTTAGTCCAAATGGTTAAAATTTTGTGTGAGTTTTGGGAAAAGAAGAAAATTTAGAAATTTTGGAAATTTTAGAAATCTTTAGAACACCATATCACAAAAAAGGTGATAAAAAGTGTTATCCCGCTGGAGCAAGAGGGCTGGAAAAGAGAGGAGCCAGTGGCTGCCCTGAGTGGCTCTGTCCTTGCCCTGACACCCTTGAGATCACCCCGAGCACTTTAAGATCACAAGATACTGAGAACAAAGAGTTTGTATTCTCTTTTTTGTTCCATAGTTCGCTGCATTTTCAGGCTTCCAAAGCTGCTTTAACATTTCTAGGACAGGTTAGAACTATT